CCTCTCCTGGCCTTGAGGAAGTCCCTCAGACTCTCTGGGCCTCAGTTTTTCCATCTGAGAAATGGAAACAATGAAACCTACCTCCGAGGCTGAGGAGAGAAATTGAACGGGGACACCTCCAAGGTGCTTGCTGGTTTACGACTCTAGATGTTGGCTCAGATATTTGAGGACCAAGATGTCCAGTCTTCTCCAAGGCCATGTGGCCACACAGCTGCAGACCCTCAGATGCCCCCTGCAGGACTGACACTCTTCAGAGATCTGCAGGGGGATCTGCAATACCCCATGCTTTGGAGTCTCTGCTCGTCTGCCTCATTCCTCATCTCAAATGCCGCCTCCTCCCCAGGCCCCTCCAGCTCCCTGCTGGCCGGCTCTCCCCCTTTCTCTCCCTGGCCTCCCATCACATGTTGTGAAGCCATGACACATGTCATCACTGGGCCTAGACACAGGGGTTGTGTCCTATTTACCCCTCAGTCTGGCCTTCCACGTTTACCCTACCTGTGGCTTGCACTTCACAGGTCGACCCCATGCTTATGGCTGGACTGTAAGTTTGCTCACCTGAACGCAGTACTGCAGCTTTCAGAGATCCCCGAGTCAGGGCCTGGCAGCTGATATATGAGGTGCCCAACTCAAGCAGACATAAACTGCGGCACCAGATCCAGCCCGTCCTAGAATCTGACAGAGGCCCTGGCCGCCGAGGGCACCGGGAAGAGTGCCTGACCAAGAACCCCTCAGTGTCTCTGCAAAGGCACGCAACAGCGTGGGGCAGGAATGGGACTTTCCATCATAGGAATGTGGCTACGGAACAGAGAACAACCCTGACTCCACATTGGATCTATTCCTTTAGCTCTAACCTTTGTGCTGTTGCCAGTGCTTAGTGATGCTGGCCTGCTCTGCACCTTCTGTAAAAGAGCGTTGCCTACAGCCTGAAATATACATAAGAGCTCATTCTCAGGGCTCTGACCTTTAAAGGTATGACGCTTTTCCATTTGTATAGAGATAAAAAGTTGCAGAACACACAATAACACTCGTCTTGTTGGAGGTTTATAGGAATGCTGTGACCAGTCCTACATGGACAGCTGCATGAACAAAGGATTCCGGCACCAAGAAGTCCACAACAACCAGCCACACCCCCTCCCCCTTCAGTATAAAAGAGGCCTGAATTCTAACTCGGGGAAGATGGTTCTTTGGGATCCCAGTTCACCATTTTGGTCTACTGGCTTTCCAAATAAAGTCGCTATTCCTTGCCCCAACACCTCATCTCTCAGTTTACTGACCTGTCGTGTGGTGAGCAGTACAACCTTGGACTTGGTAACAGCTAGACAAAAGCCCTGGACGGAGATATCTGTGGAGCACACGGGGAGGGCGCACAGTACCTAGTTCTAACATCGGCAGGTTGCCAACACTGTCAGGGTGCAATGTTCTAATTAAGGGGCTGTTCTAATTTGGGTGCCCTGAACTTCCCAGAGCATTTCTGATGAGGGTGGAAGCCTCTCACGCAGCCTTGAACACTAGACAGCAGCATTAGGGACCTGGGTTCTGGCGCTGGGCAGGCCTGATACCACCGTTCCCAACTGAGTGCCCCAGATCAAAGGTATTGATCGATGTATGTCCCGATCGTCTTCTCTGTGAAGTGGACAAAGTGACCTCACAGAGGGTGTGGCACGGCAAAGAGCTACTGCATGGGCAGTCTTGATACAGTCCCGGCATACAGTAAATGCTTAGCATTGCTCACATGCTCACTATTTTTAGAATCCTCCTGCAGCGAGGGGGTGAGTCCACTTGAAGTGGATTAAGTCTCTATCACCTAGTGTGAGCCAGAGATTATGGGTGAAGCTGTTTTGCTTGGGGAGTCTGAGCGAGTATGAAATCATGAAAGAGGAGAGAATGATGGCTGGACCCACGTGTATCTAGACTGCGATGGCCAGCAAATGCCACAACCTGCTTTTCAAGCAGAACGTTTAAGAGGAGGCAGTGGAATGGGGTGGGGGTGGGGAGTGGGGCTTGAGGGAGGAATTTGAATGGGTTTTCCCATCTCATTGACCTTAATTTTCAAAATAAACAGTCTCATGACAGTAAGTACACCCTGTGTCTCAGCTCATCACCCAAAGACTGCAGCTAAATAATAGCAGGTAACAAGTGAAAGGTGGTTCCCAGCTTATGACCGCTGGGAACTGAGAAGCCAGAAAGACACCTGGATGGGCTTTCCTCTTGGCCTAGGAGGGCCCTACATGAGGGTCTGAGAAATCTTCATCCTCAAATGCCCTATGCTTTTCACATCTAGGAGAACTGTAACAGCCCTCTTTAGTTAATGAGTGAAATGGATGCTGGGGACCTGCCTTTTCTGAAATTTACTGGTACAGTCAGAGGGGCAGGAGGCCAGCCTTGTGGACGGCAGCGTTAAGGAGGCATTTAAAGGAGTTCATGAACTATCTGCCTCCATCCATGGACTCAAATCACTCCAAGAGGCTGGGGAAAAAACAAAAAACCCCCCGCTGTCTGTCTCGGTAGGGGGCCAGGGGGAGAGGGGTGGTGGTGAGAAGCCATACAGAGTGTGAACTGGAGAACCATTTCAAGAAGGAAATCAGCAAACCACTCCAGACCATCTATTTAAGGTGCCACTGCAATTAACAGGTAATTTACAATGTGCATGAGAGGCTCTGCCTCCAGAAGCATCCGCTTTTAAGCATCACACGGTGTGTACCAGTGGAGAACATCTCCTGGGGATGCAGGGCTACGTGATTGCAGAGAGGTGGCAGAGGGCGATGTGCTGGGGTGCAAGTGAGTGCACTGCTTTGAAGTACTTTTTTTTTTTTTTTTGGTGTAGATGTTTGCCATCTGGTTCTTATACCTGTGGTGAGCTCACTGATGCTAATTTCCCCCTTCCCCCACCGTCTCATCAGTAGCAAAGTCCTCCCAGGACCTCGGTACTCACAGTGGCTCCGGGGACCATCAGCACCTCACTGAGTTGCTGGGAGAAATGCAGATCCTCGGGTCCACCCCTGACCTGCTGGATTGGAACCTGCACTTAGTAAGTTCCCTGGGTGAGCACAGGGAAGCGTGAGGAGCCCTTCTTGAGGGCAGAGTCCGATGGAGTGGAGAGGAGTGGGAAACCGGCTGCTTCCTACCAGTCTGTTCAAGAGGATTTTTCTTAAGCGTCAGTTGCGTCAGATTTTTCAGGGCAAAGAAATTAAGGGCACGTAGAGTTTGGAAATTCTGGTTTCTGCTCATTTTGTAAATGCAACTCGGAGGACAGAAAGGCTCATCAACTGCTGGGAGCTCACTTTGCATCCTTCATCACTGTTACCAGACTTTATGGGTTACACACTTATTTCTTCTTTTCCCTTAAATGAGGCTTTTTTTCCGGAGGGAGGACTGACCGGGAATGTATCCCTGTGCCTGGTTATTGGCCTCCAACCATCCCTGTCCCAATCTGGTTGCTCTCCAGTCATTGTCCACTCCACCCCTGCTCACGGGTGTGCACAGATCAGCTCCTAGCCAGCAAGAATCACCTGCTCAGGCTGTCCTGGTCCCATCCACTTTGGCTCCCACCCCCTGCACTCACCGGCCACTGTGTCTGCACTGTCCCCCAGCTCCCTCACCCTGCAGCTTGGCTGTGGGCATGCCATGTCTTTTACTTGCTCCTCTCAATCCTCTCCCATCCCCTTGTCACTCAGCTCTGGGATCTGGGAGGCTGACACACGGTGGGGACTCCATTTATGGCTCCCTTCCCTCCTGGTGGGGAGGCGAGGGAGTGCAAGATATGGATGCCCTGAGCTCACCCCTCTGCTGCATCCCTCCCCACTCCGCTGTCTGTCTCAGGTTATGGTGGCAGCTCCCTGTCACTGCTCCTTGTCCTGGGTCTGTCACCTCTGTGGCTCCCCTAACCCCTGCCCACACCTCTGTACACTCCCTTGATTAAATTATCCAACTTGAGTGGTCCATCTGTTTTCTGCTGGGCCCCTGAGCACTGACACACTGCTCTGCTACCCTCCACATCCCTGCATTCTCAAAGGTCCCCACGGCTTTCTAAAGATAAAGCCAATGGTGGTTTCTTCCCCCTTCACCTCTTTCAGCTGCACCTGATCGACAGTTTCCCTTGGAACCACCCCCCTACACCCAAACATCACATTCAGAATGTCTGAAATAACTCATGTCACTCTCCAAATGTGCTTCCGAGGGGCATCACCACCCGCCCCACCCAGGATTCCACCCACCCCTCCCAACCTTTGTCAGAGAGTTTCAGAATCATCAAGCTGGAGGAGGCTGGAGGCTTCCTGGTCCAACTCAATGGGGCACAGAAGCTTGGTGAGCCATCTGCCCAAGGGTGCCCAGCTGTTTTAGCACGTGGGTCCTCAGGTGAAAAGTTCAGGCTCTTTCCATCTCCCTGCCTCCCCTCCCCGGACATGAGAGCTTCAGAGTGCTGGGCACACCTGCCCTGCCCATAACCTCTGCCACGCCCATCTCAAGTTCTTATTCTCCAGAGACATCCTCTCCTCAGCTCCTTGACAGTGTCTCCATCCCAGTCTCTCCCACTCTAAGTCCTTCCACCTCAGGGAGGACCACTAACTCATCTGAAAAATACCATTTTGAAGGTATCAGCCACCAGTTCCAAACTGCTCCTGGCTTCCTGGTTTGCACAAGCCCCTTACCCGCGCACACAATCTGGTGGCCCACCACCCGGGACAGCTCGCAGCCCCTCTCACCTGTGGAAACAGGTTCCCCACCGTGGCTCCAGGGCGTGCCCGCAGCCCAGCCCACCACACCCATCCTACCCCCGCCGTTGCCACATTGAGGATCCAGCCCAAGCCTGGCATCCTTCCAGAGCTCAGAGCTGGCTCGGGAAGCCCTAGGGGCTCCCCTTTCACTCATTTCCTACAGTCCCCCATTTTCTGTCCCATTTATCATTGAACAATTAGTCATGTCCTACTTCTGGCTGCCTTGATTGGCAACGAAAGACACACATTTAACGCTTTCCGCTGCCCTTGCCTAACCGTTCCCACCAGATCCGAGCTCTGCTCAGGAGACATAACCACTTCTCTGTCTGTCTCTCCTTCCGCATCCAGCAGAGCAGGATACGAACGGAAGGTGCCAGAAGGACAGCACGCCGCTCTCCCTTTCACGCCAGGAGCACCTATGAATAAAAGATGGTAAAGGGGGACTCTGAGTGCCCTGGGAATCAGAGAAGGTGCTGCGACCGTCATTCAACCTCTGCTGTCCTCCAAACCGCCTAAAATGAGGTCTCCAAGGTATGGTTTCGGTGTTTTATATAAACCTGGCCTCATTACAGCTGATTAAATATACGGCAGGTTCTATTTAAATAGAGGTTATGGCATCCAGATGTTTTTCTCTCAAGATGCTGAAGTGCTTCTATATTCTGACCCTCACGGGAGACCCTCATGGGAGACGAGTACCTCCACCTCTGCTCAGGTGCACCCCCCCACCCCCATCACATGCTGCTGCTGGCTGCCTCTCCTTACCGTCCCCACTGCAGCAAGATTTTATAAAAGCAAAGTGGATCGTGTCATTCTCTATTACCTTGCCCTTTCAGCTCCTCAGCGGGACTCCCCACTCCCTCCACCTCGCAGTCCCCCATCAGGATGGCTCACCCCTCCCCCTAACCTAGCAGCCTCATCGACCCAACGTCCAGGTTGTCGTCCAAGTGTCACTTAACACCTGTCTACAGGCTGTCGTGCCCCAAGACATAAACTAAGGGGCAGAGATTTGGGTGTGATTCCCTCAGCATCTGGAAGTTCCTGCACGTTCGTTGTCAGTCCTCCACGTCGTGTCCCTTTCACCTTCCTCAAGATAAAACTGTACCACAGTGGAATTCAGAGACAGGCACGTCCTTTCCACCTGCCAGAAAGTTGTCTTGTCTCAGACTAATCTGAGCTATCGTACCAGGAAAGCCTGCTCTGTCCCTGCGCTGGAATCCTGACGGGGAGGTGACAGGCTGAGTGAGGGCTCCTGGCACCTGCAGTGGCAGGAGACTCCTCTCCCTGGGCTCTTTTTTGGCCTCACAGGAGACAGCTAACCCCTGAGCAGCCTTGGAGAAGTTACCCAGATGTTGGGTCTTGGTTTTCCTTTTTTTTTTTTTCAGACTGCAGTGAAATATAAATGAAGTTGACTGTTTTAACCATTGGTTAAATCACACTGTTGGGCAGCCAGCACTGTTGTCCACCTAAAGAACTTTTTCATCTCCCCAAACTGAAACTCTGAACCCATTAAACCCCAATTCCCTCTTCTCCCCACCCAGCTCCTGCCAAGCACCATTCTACGTTCTGTGTCTATGATGTTGACTACTCTAGGGACCCCACACAAGAGGAATTGTATGGTATTGGTCCTTTTGTGATAGGCTTATTTCACTTAGCCTAACGATCTCAAGGCTCATCCATGTAGAAGCATGTTCCTTCCTTTTTAAGGCTGAATAATATTCCATTGTCTGGACAAACCCCATTTTGTTGAGCCATTCATCTGTCCAAGGATACTTGGGTTGTTTCAACCCTTCCCCCAGTAAAATGTAGCCAGCACCGTTGACATTCTGCCCATATACCCTTGGCACCTGCTGAAGCCACCTGAGGCTTCTTGCCCTGGATTCTTTGCCTGAGGCTGCAGAGGGCAGGCTGGACATGCCAGGGCATTAACAGCCCCAGGAGTGGCCCTCAGTGACCTTGAGAGTTGGTGGTTGAAAGCTCCACCCAGCTCCCTACCCCTCATGGCTATAGTTACCAGCTCTCAAATGAACGCCCACTGTCCTGGCCCCCTTTCCCTCTCGGTCTCCTTTCTCCTCTTCCCTGAGGAGCGCCATTTGGGCTCAGCTCCCAGATAAACCATTTGCTCTGGAATCCTCTCTCAGCATCAGCCTCTGGGGGAATCACAAGAGCTGTCGGCTCCTGCTGAGACCAGGCAAGCTGCTCTCTGGTTCGCTGCCTCTCCACCCAACGAGCTGAGCAGTGTCTCTCCCGCATGGGGAGAGACCACGGGGCAGTCAGTCAGGTCCTAAGTGCATCTCACCCCTGTAGCCAGGAGCCTGCCTGCCCTTCGGGGCTCACCACGCCCTCTGTGCTGAGACCAGGATGTCTCACTGTGTCTGGGCAGCCAGCTGTGGGTCCAGACCAAACACCATGCCTCCCCCATAGTGGGGGTAGAGGACTGAGCTTTACTCTGGGTCATCAAAGCCTCCCAGCTGCCTTCCTTTCTCTTTTCGGCAGCAAGGCTCCTTCCGCCATGCTCACCCTTTCCTACAAACTGCAGAAGAGTCAGCGACACAGCCACCCGGATCTGATGATATCAGAAAGGCAAGAGCCGGAGAGCAAGGCTTTTAAAGCAGCCACTGTTTCTGACACCCATCTGCAGTCACTGTCACGACTGTAAGTGGACGTCCAGTCATTAATGAGGTCACAGACCATGTTGCCCTCCGTCCTGATTCAGGGTCCGGTGGCATTAGCACAGTGACTTTTCATGGATCCAGCTGAGATGGACCCATGGGGTCGCAGGGCTCGTTCCTGTTTCATTTAAGAAACCGCCACTGAGATTTGCAAATATTAACTACCGTAACTAAAAATCGATAAAAAACCTAATTTCTTCTACAAAGCACAGAGAACTATATTCAATATCTACAAGTAACCTATAATGAAAAAGAATATGACAATGAATATAGATGCATGTACACGTATGACTGAAACATTGTGCTGCACACTAGAAATCGACACTGTGTAACTGTACTTCAATTAAAAGAAAAAACAAAACAAGAAAGAAACGACCACTGATTATAAAATGGAGCTTACTAAATTCCGCAAAGTCAGTGTGTTCCTCTACTTCTTCACCCCCGGACAACTTACTCCAACCTGCCCACCAAGGCCAGAAGTAAACCCCATTCATCAAACACTTTTATGGAATACCCTCTCTGACATCTGGAGCTGGGTCTGTGAGCGCACAGCGAAGCCTGAGATTGGGGGGGGGCTGCCCTCCAAAGCCTCTCGTCTAGTGAGTGACAGACCAGCCACGGCCCACGGCCACGAGCACAGACAGTGCATTCCAGATGCTCCCTTTGAGGAAGGACTTGTTCTCCACACATTGCGGAGGGAGGAAGTGACGGGACCCCGATGCCTCAGTCACCAAGGTCACCTGGCTGTTAAGGTCAAGCCAGGGTCTCACCCAGATCGCAGGTCCCAGCACCACAGCCTTAACCCCTGTGCTGTACGGCTCCCCAGAAGCCCAAGGGATGATCTCTGCATTTTCATGGTTCCTGTCTCTGCGTCTGTAGTCTTCTTTTCTGAGCCTTGGAACAGAGCTGTCTCACCGTCACGGGGAAATCCACAGGGAAAAACAGATGTCTGCTCACCTTTCTGACTGTGCCAGACACTTCTGACCCCTGTTCAGAGCAGCTTTGCATGAATAAAGGCTAAAGTCGGCGTTCTGATGGAGTGAAACAAACCACAGACATCCTAGGAGATGTTTGTTTATCAGGACGTCAGGGCTGGGAGATTTGACAGAGGCCCCCCTGGCCGCTGAGGGTAACCATTTGACAAGGCCCTGCCACCTTGCTTTCCTGAGTTACCGAAACAGCCTTAGCTTTATCTCCTTTGCCAAGTTACAAATGTTTTAAAGTGCAGTGATCACAATAGCATATGGCACAATACAATACGTGTAGCGAGATACCCATGCATGTGTGGCTGCCCACACACACACCTTCCACTGAACTGTTCCAACACAGAGAATCCACACATCCCTCATCGATGGCGGAAAAGACCATTCATGCCAGGCACTGTTCCGGGTACTTGGAAGGATGCAGTGGTCTCTGCCTTGAGTTTCTCAGTCTAATGAGAAAGAGGGACCACCAGGGAATTCACTTTAAGATGCTGCGATAAGAACACTGGTTACGTAGGGAGAGGGGCCACCGATCTTGCAGGAGTTGGGTGGGGGCGACTGGCAGTCAGGGTGGGCCCCGCAGAAGAGGAGACTCATGGCGAGGTCTTGAGCATGAAACAGCAGTTAATTTATAGTTAATTTAAAAAAGTATGCAAGGTAACGGGTTAATGAGAAAAGGGCATTTCCTAGTCAGGGACGTGGAGACAGGAGCTCAGGGTGTCAGCTACGGTGCGAGGAGGCCTAGATTTGGACCCTTGCCCCCACCTGCTCGGCCTGGGACCTTGAGCAGTTACTTTATGTGTCCTCTTACCTGTAGAATGGTGACTGCACACAGTAACTCATTTCATCCTCACTACAGACAGCTTAACCCACCAGGACCTATTCAATCACCTGCTCATTCAAACGGCTCATGGACAGAAACTCCTATTTTCTATGACTATGTCGCTTTGGTCTAGCAAAGATCAGGAAGTCCCCCTCATCCAGTGTCTCAGAGTTCTGCTGCATTCTTGGCTCCTGAACTAGACCTTGAGACACAAATGAAAGATGACCCTTTGGTTTTTGGGTGCCATGCTTCCTGGCAGATTCATATATGAGAATACAGAACAGCTAACACGTTACCATGGAGAGGCAGGGAGAATTCAGCGGGCTCCGACAGGGCACAGGACAAGTACTGCTTCCGTTAGCTTTAGGGGCCTGTTAAGTCAGTGGTCACACCCTTTGCAGGAGGTACCGTGGGGTGGATCGGTCCAGGGAGCGTGGCTTGAGGGAAAAGGAAATTTCCGCCACACTGACAGTTAACTGCAGCAAACTGCAGAAAACCGAGAGGCTCCCGTTTCAGAAAACAATCCACAAATAAATTGCCAATCAACAAGGCTCCATGTCCGCAGCAAACTCCTCTTCACAACAGCGAAGGAAGGGAGTGAGGGAAATTTATCATCTCTTTTCCTGAGCATATATCAACCCCCATTTCTGACAAGCGGTAATGGAAAATAGGCTTCCTGCATGCTTCTTGTCTCCTGGCTGTTGGTTCTTGAACTTGCTTTCTGCCTCTCCCTGATCTGGTAACATTCAATCTGTTTTGTGATGTTGACATGTCTAGTGACCCCGACTTGGCATGAGGCTTGCCTAGAATTTTAACTCAGTTCTCTCCTTGACTTTTCATGGCTTCTCCGTTTCTCCAGTGTTCACAGCCTCTGGTCCTTGGCACGAAAGAACCCAGAAGGCGGCAACTATGAATGCGTAGCGACCTTGACCTTGGCTGGACCAGGGACCGGAACCATCTCCGAGACAGGCTTTCGCTCAAGGAACTGGGGGTGGCGGGGAGCGTGACCAGGAAGGTACAGGAGAACACCCAGGCTCTCTGTCCTCTGACAAGATCAACAGCTAGATTGGACAGCTGGCCATGAACAGAACGGCTCTGGGAGAGTCCAGAGGCCACTTAAGAAGAATTAGCAACACAGTGGAACAAAAACCCTGAGAATAATCGCACAAGAAAAGAAGGAAAGCAGCCTCACTCGGCCTGCGTCATCCCAGCCCCCAAGCCAGCATCATTCAGCGCCCAGAGGGAACACTCCAGCCAGAAAGAGTTCCCTGGCCGGGAAAGGAAGAGTGGAATGAGCAGCTTTTAGGAAGGGGACACCGTGCAAAGGTCTCACTTTGGTTTTACCCTAGTCGGTCCCCTACAGAACAGTGCTCCTCAAAATTTAATGTGCACGTGAATTGCCTGCAGGTTCTGACTCAGCAGGTCTGCAGTGGAGTCTCAGGTTCTGTGTTTCTAACAAGCTCCCCCGGACCACATTTTGCAGGTTCTAGATAACCTAATTCAACCCTCTTGTTTTCAGATGACGACGCTGAGATTCAGAGTGGGGCAACGACCCGGGGAAAGATGGTTAGCGTAAGAAATGAGTCTAAAATCTGGGCCTGTGATTCCTGGCCTAGCATCCTTTCAAAGGAATCACTTAAAGAGCCATGGAGGGAGGGCTTGCCCGCCCCTCATGCTCAGTCTTTGGTCGCTTTTACTTGGATATGTCACTGAGTTTTGAATACTGGTTAGTGAAAGTCTAAAGCAGGAAACAGAAAGTTCAGAGTAACTGACTTCTCTGTGCTGAAACTGTTTCTTTGTCGGGGCTCTCGAAGAAGGGCTGATTTTATCAAGTACGAGGCTCTCAGGGCCACAGAAAGAGAGCTGTCTTCTGTCCCGAGGTCACAAAGTGACAAGACGTTCTCAGGTTCTGCAGGAATGCACACCTTTGACAACGCTCTGCACACTCTTTAGTGCCACCATGTCTTCCTGATCTGGGTCACAAATAATCAGACAGTGAGTACCTATCAGCACCTGGAACAGCCTGGCTGTCACTCTGAGTGGAGGCAGGATGGCAGGCAAAGTGACAGAGATCAGTGGTTCCCAAATGAGCCTCCAGCTCCACCCTGGTCATCCAGGAGTCTGAATGTGCAGGCACCTGCCCAGCCGATTCTAATGTCCAACCAGTTTGAGGGACCAGCAGATTAGCTGACCCCTCAAACTGCCTTTCAGCCTGGGATGGTGCCCTGAGCCAAGGGCTGAGACCAGGTGGCTCGTGTGTCACCTGGTGACGAAGGGGATAAGGGCTCATCGTGGGAGGGTGAAGCCACCACCCCTTCTCAGAGTTAACAAAGGGGTAACAGTTAACAAAGGGGTCCCTGCCCTCTGCCTCTGTTTGAAAAGGACCAAAGCTGCCCAAGATGAGGGAGGGCTACCCATGAGCTGCCATCGTGGTGAGGAAGGCCATCTGGGTAGTTCAGAATTTTCCAGAAAAGGAAGAGAGCAAAACTGAGCTCCTGTGATCTCAAAGTGCACAGGGAGGCATTTTTAGAAAAAACACTCCTTGGAAAAGCTTCTGACAATCGAGTGAAAAACAACTGACATGGGACAGATTTTCTCTGAAAATGTAAGCAGCTTGCTGGGCGAATTCTGTGCCGCTCGAGGGCAAGGCCTGGGGACAGTGCATGGTGCGGGCGGGGCCGGGGTGCTCCAGGCTCCCCACTGCCTGCGAGGAGATGGCAGCGGAAGAAGGTTCCACCAGACAAGCCTCCAGGGAAGGGTACGGGGCATCATACGCCTGGTGCTGATCTTCCATCTGCATCCTTTGCCCCATGAAGCTGCAATTCTTCCCACAAAGAGGGGAGGAGAGCACGGCCAGGGAACTTGCCTTGGCCGGTAGAACGAGGCGGAGTGATGGTGTGCAGTCCAGAGCCTAGATTGCAAGGGGTCTGATGTATTTCCACCTGCCCTCACTCCTCTGCCCTCACCATGAGCAGAGCTCGCCCGGCTACCCCACGGGTCCATGGAGAACCAGAGACGTGTGCAGCACAGCCTCCCAGCTGCACCATCTAGAAGCAGGGGGCCCTGCAGAGCCAACCCTGCACCAGCCGAATCCCAGCATCCCTGAAAATGTAGGATAACGTAAGTGTGTCACAGAAGCCACTGAGTTCTGGGGTGGCTCCTCGTGCAGCCTGAGATAACCGAGGAGACAGTCAACGAGCATCAGACACTCCTCCTGCGAAGTCAGCCCTCCGCAGGGCAACGCCTTACTCCGAAGCACAGACCTCTGAGCCGCTAATTGAGGGGACAGGACAACTCCAAGAATGGTCATGGCTGGCTCCAGTTTTGTGATCTCTGCTGAATGTCAGCCCTTTGCTCACAGCCTTACCCGTAAAGAGAGAAACTGGACTTTCAAGCATGGTGGCTGGCTAGGAAGTGCGACACTTTGGCTAAAAATAAACATGCGATCGTTAACCGTGTCCGTGCCTATCGCCCAGGTCTCCTGATGGCCCATGAACACGTGTTCATGCATCATTTAGAGGCCTGAGGCTTCTGCTCACTCTCGCAGCAAGGCAGCAAGGAGAGGCAGCTAAGTCCTGGCCTGGGGGACCTTTCCCCGGCTCCTGAGTTAATAGGTTTCTCAGAGGGAAGAATTACCCACAGCCCTGTGGGAGAAGCCAGGCAATGACGGTAAATAATTTCCTGTCCATCCCTCTGCTCACCACATCAGAGCCTGGCTTGGATCTTAATCTGGGTTACCTTCTTCCTGACTGTGTTAACTATGGAAAATCAAAATTTCTGAGCCTCAGTTTCCTCAGCATGAAACCTTAAGTGTTGCTGTCAGAGTTCTAGATAATAACCGTAAGAAAAGGTACCTATCCCTGTGATTACACGGGTAGCTACTCAAGGGTAGCTATTTTCTTTGGCAGAGTAAGGAGGGTCGCCATGTGCGATCGTGTAGGTTGTTAACCGCACAAAAACTCTTGGCCAAGGAAGGGGATGGGGGCTGAAGTTCATCCTGGGCTCTGAGGCCAAGCCTTGTGGCCTGTAGCTATTAGGAAAAAGGGTCCCTGGTTTTAATTTGCACAAAGGGTTTATGGCAGCACTGAGGGCAAGCCCAGTCTACTGAAAGTTAAAGATACATTTGTGCTGAAACTCCTCTGAAAGAAAGTGAAAAAAATGATCACTTAACTGGGTAACTTGCTAATAATTATAGCGACTTAAAAAAAAAAAAAAAGCCAGTTGGTTTTGACTTCACCCTGGAGGTTCTGATTCAGAAGCTCTGGGGAGAGGCCGTGGACATCAGTACTTTCAGTCAACGTCCCAGGTGTTTGCACACATTTGAAAGACACTGTGATGTTTCTGGTCTCCTTGGCCCAGGCCTGGGCTCCCAGGATCCAAGAGCAGGTCAAACAAACAAATAGGAAATAATCTCCAGCAGTTCAAGTTGGAATCCCAAGGTTAAAAAATCCAGAAATAACCCCTGCATCTTGTTAACAAGCGCTTCAGTCATCCAGGACCTTCCAGAGGTTGGGGCCAAGAGGCTGGGGCCCGGAGGGGACCCACAGCAGCCGAGGAAGCTTGGAAGGTGGCCGGGTCCCTGACAAGCAGCCTCTGACGCACACTGACAGGAAAGAGCTTGGCCACGGAAGGCAATTACAGAGGATGAGACATCGCGCAAGCCAGCGAGTCGGGGGAGTGCAGGGGGAAATCTTATTATCTCTCTGTCTTGCTTAATAGGAGTTAATAGTTGGAAGGGAATAAAAGAATGGTGTGTGAAGTTTAGTGCCAATACAGGCTAATACGCATGCTATGTTTTTATTTCAAAGAGGATAAAGGCCCAAATTTTATACTGAAAACAAATGTTAAAAATTAATTATAAAGAAGACACCAGAGGGCCTCGAGCATGTTCCCTGGGTGACTGATTAAATGCCTGCCTCATTTAGACTGGTATAAACCCAATCTCTTGGAAGAAGGCCAGCACTATTTGCCAACGTCCACAGAGACTCTCCAAGAAAATGATCCTGGTGCCAGAAAAGGGAAAAACATACTCACCAGTGCTGCCCGGAGCCAGCCACTGCCACGGGGTGCAATGCAGTCACGGGCAGGAAAGCTGAATGATTCTGGAAGGTCAAGGTGGGTCAGGAGCATCCTTCATCACTTGAAACTGACCATCCATGAACCAAACCAACGATGCTGCCCAGGCCTGCGATAAAGCAGCCGGAAGAGCTCCTTCCTTCTGCAGGCTTGGAGACGATGGGGGCTTTTTTTTTTTTTTAATCTCTGGATTTTGTTTTGTTTCAGAGACTATCTTCCCAACTCTTGGAATGCGCAGGCTCTAATTGAAAATTTCGGAACTAGGAAGCAAGCCAATGACTCCATTATCTTTCGAAATTTAAAATAACATTTTCCTTGTTAAAATAAAACTGAAAGATTACCAGAAATGCCGATGTTCCCCCTTAGATATTCCCCACCCCAAACTCTAGTTTTTTGGGGGTTTTCTTTTTGCCCCAAAGGTAACCGCTGTTGGTGGTCCCCTGTGGTCCTCAGACCCACGGACAACACCAATACACAAAGTTGTCTGGGGTAGTATTTTTCCACTGGTGATACCACAATGGCCATATTTTTCTGCAACTTGCACTTTTCATTAAACGGCAGGTCTTGGAAATCGATTCACGTTGGTACATATGCTAACCCCAGTGTAATATTCCAAAATATGGATACAATTATTCCATGTTTAAAGGAAAAAAAATCCACGTTTCTTAGGCTGATATTTAGATCTGTTCATAATAAGATCCCAACCTACATTTTTCTACTTTCTCACAGGTAGCCCCCACCACTTCCATGGAAAAGATATTCAAACCAGAGAAACCATTCAGTTTCCTACAAGAGAGGGACCATCTGCATCATCAGCTCCCAGTGGGCAGCCATCGCACCTCCTCTAGGTGCCTCTTGCATAGGGCTCTCACTACTTCCGCTGGGCATCCCAGTAATTAGCAGGCTATTTTCACTGTCCCTTTTTAGTAGGGAGCTCTGTAGGGGTAGGAATATAGGCCAGGGAGACAGCAGGTGCTCAATAAACTTTTGTTTTTTAAAAAAGGAAACAAAGTCTTACTGATTCTCTGTACTGCTATGGGAGGAGGAGAAGAGCTCAAATAGAAGCTGAACCATGGCTACGTTTTCCTTCCTTCCATCACACATCCTTCCATCATCCATTCACCCATCATCCATCCATCCTTCTTTGCCTCCATCTTTTCTTTTATGCCTCCTTCCACCTC